ATAATTAAGACCAAATATTGGTTACGCATACGATAACCTGTAGTTCAAATGCATTTTGGCCCAGAGGGTCTTCCTTCAGTGGAGAGCCAGTGTGGTATAGTGGTAAAGAGTGGCGATTCTAATCTGGAGAGCTGGGTTCAATTCTGCATTCCGCCCCATGAAGCCAGTTGGGTGTTCTTGGGTCAGTCACAGCTCTCTCAGAGCTCTCTCAGCCCCCGAAAATAAGACTAGCTCACCACCTAGTGGTGCATAATGCTAAAAGAGCTGGAACTTAAGACTGCCAGACACTCTTAGGATCTCCTGGCTATACTACAGACAATCCCATACGATTCTTCTTCTTCTTCTTTGATCTAAATAACAACAATAAATAAATAAACAACACACATTAGAAATGTAAATATGAAACATCTGTTTTTCGGGCCAGACAAGTTGTGTATGAATCCTAAACATAAAAAAAGAAAAATAGACTTGGAAGGCTATGATCAAATTGTGACATACTGACTGGCCAAATGAAATACATTTTTTTTAAAAAAATGTTAATAAAGAAGAGTTGCTGCTCACAACGAAATAGTTGCCGTGTTAGTCTGTCTGTAGCAGTAGAAAAGAAGAAGAAGACGCAGAGATTGGATTTATACCCCGCCCTTCACTACCCAAAGGAGTCTCAGAGCGGCTTACAAACTCCTTTCCCTTCCCCTCCCCACAACAGACACACCCTGTGAGCAATGTTCCCTCTTAGCTGTGGAGTCTCGTGAGCAAAAATCCTACTTTGTGAGCTGCTGGCATTAAAGTTGTGAGTGAGCGATTTGGCTACTGCATTAATTAGCTTGCTCTGGAGCCATCCTCCCTGAGCTGAGACAAAAATATGTGAGCCGGAGGCTAAAAAACTGAGCTAGCTCACACAAACTCAGCTTAGAGGGAACACTGCCTGTGAGGTAGGTGGGGCTGAGAGAGCTCTGACAGAAACTGCCTTTGAGAGAACAGCTGCTAGAGAACTTGTGACTGACCCAAGGTCTCACCAGCAGCTGCGAGTGGAGGAGTGGGGAATCAAACCCGGTTCTCCCAGATTAGAGTCCACACTCCTAACCACGACACCAAACTAGCAAGGTCTAGAGGAAGTAATTAAACGTTGACTTTTTTTGCACGGAAAATACTTGCTTCATTGAGGGGGGGGGGCAGGATGCCAAGGAGTGAAACCCAGCCCGCCCCCACCGGCATCTGTGACTTCAGATACCACCAAATTTCAACTCCGTCTTTGCTGCCTTCACGCTTAAACCTGCCTTTAAATGGAGCAGACGTTCCCAGACCTGCGGCATTCCGCCCTCCCAGCATTTTGTTGCACAGAACATGGTAATTGGCACAACCCTGCCCAAGAGCATGACGGGCACGGCGCCCGCTGCAGAAACTGGCGTCCTCCCCCACCATCAGGAGCTCACAGCAAGCGTTCTGTCTTCCCTGGAGTCTTGGCTCTCCTACCGGACCTCGCTGGGTCCTCGGTGCCAATTTCCCAATCCTTACTGTGGGGCTGATGGGGAAGACACATGTCCTTGCCTTTAACATCAAGAAGCAGGCCGCGGGAGAGAGCAGAACAGGTTTCCCATGATGCAATTATGCCCTTGTGGGGGCGAGCAAACCCCTAACCAACACTCCCAAAGCCAGCGCCAGATTGCTGGGCGGGAGCATCTTCTTCATTCGGCTCCGGCGCTCCCGAGCAGAAAGGCTACAGTCTGTGTGTCAAAATAAAACCTGCTTCCTTCCTCTCACAGGCCCATTTGCATTCAGCCTCAATTCCCACTCTCTGTGTCTGCTTTTGGAACAGCCTGGAGCTGTCTGCAGGGGCATGCCGGGGGGTGGGTGGGGGGGAGTTACAGGGCATCTGTCTGGGTACAGAGGGTACTAGAAAGGCCACCGACCGCCACCGACCTTTTCCTGGCCCTTGGCCGAACCCCACGCCTAGGCTTCTCCTGATGATATTTCAGAAACGGCACACAAGCACACTGCCTGCTGAATCAGAGCCTTGGCCCGTCAAGGTCAGTATTGATGGCTCGGGCTGGCAGCTGCTCTCCAGGGCCTCAGGCAGAGATCTTTCACAACATCGTTCGTCTGATCCTTCCAAACTGGAGGTGCCCAGGATTGAACCTGGGACCTTCCACATGCAAAGCAGAGGCTCCGATGGGCAGTAGGTTCAGAACAGGCAGAAGGGAGCGGTGGCGCAGGCAGTACGACACCTGCGGTTAACATCAATAGCGAACAGCCACAATGGCTGTTCGAATCCCCACCACGGCCGGGTTGAGCCCCTGGCCCCTGGCCCAGCTCCCGCCAACCCAGCGGCTCTAGTAACAACAAGAGGAATGGTGGCAGGGGGCACCCTCCTCCTGGCTCTGTGCCGGGAGTGCGGCCGGCAGCAGCAGCGGAGAGAGACGAGAGAGACGAGAGAGGTGGCGGCGGAAAGAGTCGAGCGATTCAGGGAGGCGGCGGCCGAATTGAGTGGAGGCGGAGCCGGAGCGACGTGGTGACGTGGGACGCAGCATGACAGGAGCCGGCGGGACATTTGCGGAAGTTGCGCCCGAAAGCAGCGGCGCTCCGAAGGAGAAAAAATCATCAAGAGCCTGCTCGGACTTGGTCGCCAGCCATCCGGATCGCCGAAAGGAACAACGAGGCTGCCAGAGAGGAAGGAGGACTATGCCGCATGGGTGCTGGTAGGATATCCCCTCCCCAGGAAAATTGTGGCCCTAGCTAGATATTAACTACGCAGTAGTTCATTGTAAACCGCTCTGAGACCCATTAGGGGTCATGGGCAATATATAAATCCCATGTAAGTAAGTAAGTAAGTAAGTAAGTAAATACGACTTAACACAGCGAGTGATTAAAATGTCCGATTCACGGCCGGAGGACGTAGTGATGGCCACAGGAATAAACAGCTTTCAAAGGGAATTAGAGAGATTCACGGAGGGTAAGTCTATCGGTGGCTGCTAGCCATGGTGGCACAGGGGAACCTCCACATTCAGAGGCACTAATCCTCTGAATCCCAGAACCAGGAGGCAACATCAGGGGAAGGCCTTGACCTCTGTTGATAGCCCTCTGGAGAAACTAGTTGGCTACTGTGAAAGCCAGGATGCTGGACGGGATGGACCATTGGTCTGATCCACCCGGGCTCTTCTGAGCGTCTTATGAAGGCCTCGGCCTCTCTGCCCTGTTGTTGGCTGTCCAGAGAAACTGGCTGGCCACTGTGTGGGACAGGATGCTGGACTAGAAGGACCCTCACTGGTCTGACCCAGCAGGACTCTTCTGATGTTCTTATGAAGGCCTCGGCCTCTCTACCCTGCTGTTGGCCCTCCAGAGGAACTGGTTGGCCGCTGTGTGGTACATGATGCTGGGCTAGAAGGACCACTGGTCTGATCCAGCAGGGCTCTTCTCTTGTTCTTATGAAGGCCTCGGACTTTTAGCCCGGTTGTTGGTCCTCCAGAGGAACTGGTTGGCCACTGTGTGACACAGGATGCTAGACTCGATGGGCCACCGGTCTGATCCAGCAGGGCTAGATAATTTGCCAAGAGCCCTTGGGCTCCACGTAATACAAAATAGCATTTTGATTTGTGCAGGGTCATTGTACCTACCTTGACTCACTATACCCTTTGTTGAAGGATCGTCTTTGAAAACACTCTTAATATTACGTACAATACCATCGGGGTATACTCGGCAGTGTTTTCTCTATGGACTGTTATTGCTCCTAGGAGGGCTTGTGCTTGTGGACTTTTTTGGACTGTATTACTTTAAGAATCATCATTCTGTGCTTTGTGTGACTTTATGATGTGCATTAGTGGGCCGCGGTGGCTCAGAGGTTAAGACGCTGAGCTGCAGACCAGAAGGGCAGTACGAGACCCGAGTGCCGCATGACGGAGTGAGCTCTCCCGTCTCTAGTTCCAGCTCCTGCCAACCTAGCAGTTCGAAAACAAGAAATTGCAAGTAGATCAAAAGGTACCACTTCGGTGGGAAGGTAACAGCGTTCCGTGTGCCTTGGCGTTTAGTCATGCCGGCCACATGACCATGGAAACGTCTTCAGGCAGCGCTGGCTCTTCGGCTTGGAAACGGAGATGAGCACCGCCCCCTAGAGTCAGATTTGACTGGCTTTCGAGCAAGGGAAACCTTTACCTTTTTATGATGTGCATTACGTTCTTTTGAAGTGCTGTATGTGTTTACACATTCAGTATACTTAATATACTCCTATGCAATGTTCCCTCTAAGGTGTGGAGTCTTGTGAGCAAAAAGTCTACTTTGTGAGCTACTGGCATTAAAGTTGTGAGTGAGCAATTTGGCTACTGCATAAATTAGTTTGCTCTGGAGCCATCCTTCCTGAGCGAAGACAAAAATGTGTGAGCCGGGGGCTAAAAAACTGAGCTAGCTCACACTAATTCAGCTTAGAGGGAACACTGCCTATGAGTATCATTAAAGGTAAAAGGTAAAGGTTCCCTTGCTCGAAAGCCAGTTGAATCCGACTCTAGGGTTGCGGTGCTCATCTCCGTTTCCAAGCCAAAGAGCCAGCGCTGTTCGAAGACGTTTCCGTGGTTGTCCGTCATGACTAAACGCCAAGGCGCACGGAACGCTGTTCCCTTCCCACCGAAGTGGTACCTATTTATCTACTTGCAATTTCTTATTCTTAAAAAATTTCTGGAAGAGTTTCCACCTTTTCATTTGACGATTCAGAAATGAGAAGGCCCACAAGCAGTTGCTACAAAAGGAAAAGACAAGACACCGAGGAATTGAGAAAAGCCAGCATAAAGCGTTTTTATTGCAATAATAAAACTCTATGTGTTGACGTGGTGACGGTGGAGGAAGTGTCAGCAGCGGCAATTCTCTTACCAAAAATCACTACAGGGGGGAAAAAGAGAGGTCGGTTCTGACAACCTGGGAAGGGGGGGTGTGTGTTTCGGTGCACTGCCCCAGGGGGTGTCTGCAAAGCTGCGATGACCAGCATCAGGTTTCCGTAGAGAACTCTCTAGTATATCTGCACTGATAGGCTGGGGGAAAGGCTGGATTCGTCCCCGTGCCCTAAAAGGGGAAAGGGGAAAAAAAAAAAAGAACAGCACCTTCCAAAAGTTGTGGAATTTAGCTAGTTGTGGAATTCAGAAAGCTAGAGGTTAAAAATGTCCTGAAAATCCAGTAGAAAAGACACCAAAGATTGGCAAGGGGGTGTTGGGGGAAGATCCATAACTCGGGGGTGGATGAGCAAGGACGACCCCCCAGCATAAAAAGGTTACTGCTGTGTCACTGTGAAAGTTGCCCTTTCCCCCAAGATTGAAGGGAGGAAAGGCCACGGGGTTGGGGGAGGAGGGAGTGGCTGTGAGCCCCAAATTTCAGGCAGAGAACCGTATCAAATCCTATGACTACGCGGCTTCCCCCCACCGCTCCTCAGACTGCTTCGTACGGCTTTGCGGCGGCGGATCAGTTCCACGCAACAGATGAAACTTCCCCAAAAAAGCAACAGCGAGAAAAGGGTGAGATTTTGCCGTATTCGCGCAATCGTTTCCTATATAAAGTGAACCGGTCGGCAGACGTAAAACTAGCAAATGCTCAATCACACACAACTCAAGTCTACGCCAAAAAAAACACCCCAACCTCTCCCCCCCCCCAAATAAGATTAAAGAATCTGACCGACAAAATAGATAGCCGAGGTTTTACAGCAATGTGGATTTAACAATGTCAAAAAACGGCAAAGGGGGGGAAAAGGCCGGGGGAGGACAAGAAAGGAGGCGTCGGAAGCCAAGAGCTGAGTGATCCAAACACGTTCAAACCGGGGTTTGGAGGGTTACGCCGAGAGTGTAGTGGATAAGCCGGGGAAAGCTCCATACAAATTCGTGTGCATTCCTCTCGAAGTAAGGAGGTTTCCGGATTCCCGTCCTGTGCCAAACCTGTCGGGACAAAGGAGAGCTTGCCTTGAAATCTGCCCTGAGGATTCGACACCTCCGAAGCCACTCGATCCAAGGCGGTGAACCCATTAGTCGCCAAGGCAACCTTGTATCGGCTGCCAAACCCGGTCTTGCCAGGAAGCTCTCAATCTCCTGTTTACCCCCCCTCCCATGAGGAAAGAGTGCCAATCTGATTCATGCGCCCGGGCACTCTTCCAAGACACACCCTAGGCAATGCGCCCCCTAAGCTGTGGAGTCTTGTGAGCGAAAATTCTACTTTGTGAGCTACCAACATTAAAGTTGTGAATGAGCGATTTGGTTGCTGCATAAATTAGTTTGCTCTGGAGCAATGCTCCCTCTAAGCTGTGGAGTCTTGTGAGCAAAAATTCTACTTTGTGAGCTACTGACATTAAAGTCGTGAGCGAGCAACTTGGCTGCTACATAAATTAGTTTGCTTTGGAGCAATGCTCCCTCTAAGCTGTGGAGTCTTGTGAGCAAAAAGTCCACTTTGTGAGCTACTGGCATTAAAGTCATGAGAGAGGGATTTGGCTGCTGCATAAATTAGTTTGCTCTGGAGCAATGCTCCCTCTAAGCTGTGGAGTCTTGTGGGCAAAAAAGTCCACTTTGTGAGCTACTGGCATTAAAGCTGTGAGAGAGCAATTTGGCTACTGCATAAGTTAAGTTTCCTGTGGAGCCCTCCTTCCTGAGCCAAGACAAAAAATGTGTGAGCCGGAGGCTAAAAAACTGTGAGCTGGCTCACACTAACTCAGCTTAGAGGAAACACTGACCCTAGGCTGGGCACAGGCCTTGCTGCCCGACAACCACCCCCAAAGATGCCTCCCGCTCTCCCACGTGGCCTCTCCCGGCGGGCACCAGACCGAGTCTCTTTCACCTACCCCGGAGCAGGGACACAGGACCAGCGGTGCCTCTTGTCATTCCATTTTAATAAGCTCCACGTCGAAAATTAGAGTGGCATTAGGGGGGATGATTCCCGGGTGGCCGGTGAGGCCGTAGGCGTAGTCTGGCGAGATGGTCATCTTGGCGCGCTGCCCGACACTCATCTGTGGGAGGAACAGAGCAGACGGTTGAGAGACGCTGCGTCCGGCTGAGCCACAGTCTGGGACGTCCGTGCCACGGAAGGAAGGCGCAGGCTGCTACCGGAATACGCACAGAGGCTCTCTCCGGCCACCAAGTTCACAGCGCACCCTCCGAGTCAAGGCTGACCCCGCCCACTGCATTTTGCCACTCCGTGGTGCTGGGAACAGGGCCGGAGAGAGACAGAGGGATTTCCCAAACTGAACTGGAAACCCAGGGGCATACGGAGGGAAAGGGTATCCGTCTTGGTCTGCAGTGGAAGAGCTGTATTTGAGTCCAGGACCACCTCGGAGGAGTTTGGTGCAGTGGTTAAGAGCATGGACTCCGATCTGGGGGGACCGGGTTTGATTCTCCACTCCCCCCTCCAACAGCTGCTGGTGCGACTTTGGGTCAGTCACAACGTCATGCCCTGGCACATAAGCAGGCCTTCTGTGTTCTTGTTAGCCTTGTTGAACTTTTAGCTTTCGCTTTTCGCCTTCCTGCATCTTATCAGTGTACCTCTGCCCTCGCTTGCCATGTGACATTCCTGGGGGGGCGGGCCATGTGTGTTGTTAGAGCGTCAGGGAGTATGGCTTGTAACATCTTGACGGGAGCCCCAAGATGGTTTCTCGTGAGACTGTCCTTGGAGATTTCCATGCCGGGCTAGGCTAGACAGAGCGACCGTATATCTGTCTGGGTTGCTATAGAAATGCCTGACGTGTGAATGAATGGGATCTGGGGGGTTTACCTATATGTGGTAATTTCCTGCCTTTGGGCTCCAGTCCGAACAAAGGTTCTGAACCCACAGCATCTCATCTCTCTAATAAAGCATTACACTGCCAAAAGTGTGTGTGTGGAGAGTGAACTGACTGGGGACCTGACACACAAGTTCTCTTGGAGCTGTCCTCTCAAAAGCAGTCCTCGAGAGAGCTCTCTCAGGCCCACCTACCTCACAGGGTGTCTGTTGTGGGGAGGGGAAGGGAAAGGAGATTGAAAGCCGCTCTGAAACTCTGAGTGAAGGGTGGGGTATAAATCCGATTTCCTCCTCCTCTTCTTCTTGAGAGCCAGTTTGGTGTAGTGGTTAGGAGCGTGGAGTCTAATCTGGGAGGACCGGGTTTGATTCCCCCACTCCTCCTCCACCACGTGCAGCTGCTGGTGTGACTCTGGGTCAGTCACAAGTTCTCTCAGAGCTGTTCTCTCAGGGGCAGTTCTCAAGAGAGCTCCCTCAGCCCCACCTACCTCGCAGGGTGTTTGTTGTGGGGGGAAAGTACGGGAAAGGAGATTGTAAGCCGCTCTGAGACTCCTTCGGGTAGTGAAGGACGGGGGTATAAATCCAATCTCCTCCTCCTCCTCCTCCTTAGATTTTCAGGGTTTAAGCTTCCAAGAGTTAAAACTCCCTTTGTCGGGTCTGACGAAGGGATCTTTGACTCATGACAGCTTCGCCCCCTGAAAATCTCGCTGTCTCCAAGGGATACATGGCACTCTGGGGTTCCCGTCTCTCTGCTCGCTCTGCCGCACCCCGGATATTAAAGCCCCCTTGGTAGCAGCCAGGTCAGCAGGGGTGGACGCTGGTATGACCCCCCCCCCAAGCAAACACCACACACACAAGGCCGCTGCCAGGTATCAAGCTGCTATCAAACACAGTTGTGCAGGAGACACAGAGTCCGGCTGGGTCCTTGCAGGCGACGCTTAGCGGCAAACACCTCCTCCTGACCCGTGTCGAGCAAAGATGTGGAAAGAGAGGGGAGTCCAGGGTCTTTCTAGCATGACACATTCCCCAACAAGCTCCCTGCTAAGCGTTCAGGGTGTTAAAAGGGCATGGGGACCCAATCCGATGGCGGTTTACGCAGAACTCAAAATTATGACGATGGGACGGGCTTCACGCCCCAAATTCCTTGAGCACGCAGACAGGGACTCTAGTATTATCTCTTATCTCTTTTTGTGAGAAAGTTACTACCTTGCTGGGTCAGGGGAGTGCTGTAGGCATGGGTTGTCTTGATTTCAGTAAGGCTTTTGAAGTGGTGGCGGCTACAAGCATGGACGGCTTCAAAAGGGAATTAGATAAGCATATGGAGCAGAGGTCCATCAGGGGCTATTATCCACAAGGTATAGATAGGGACTCTGGGGCAGGTGATGCTCTGTCATCTTGGTGCTTGGGGGGGGGGTCAACAGTGGGAGGGCTTCTGATGTCCTGGCCCCACTGGTGGACCTCCTGATGGCCCCTTAGCAGAGGTCCATCAGGGGCTATTATCCACAAGGTATAGATAGGGACTCTGGGGCAGGTGATGCTCTGTCATCTTGGTGCTTGGGGGGGGGGTCAACAGTGGGAGGGCTTCTGATGTCCTGGCCCCACTGGTGGACCTCCTGATGGCCCCTGGTATTTCTGGCCACTGTGTGATACAGTGTTGGGCTGGATGGGCCTTTGGTCTGATCCAACATTGGCATCTCTTATGTTCTTATGATAAGGTTCCACATAATGTTCTTGTTGAAAAATTGGAAAAATATGGTTTGGATCCTGTTACTGTTAGGTGGATCTGTAACTGGTTGACAGATCACACCCAAAGAGTGCTTGCGAATGGTTCCTCAGCCTCTTGGAGAGGAATGACAAGTGGAGCGCCTCAAGGATCTGTACTGGGACCTGTTTTGTTCAACACCTTTATCAACCATTTGGATGAAGGGATAGAGAGAATGCTTACTAAATTTGCAGATGATACTAAATTGGGAGGGGTAGCAAATACAGTAGAAGACAGAGGTAGGATACAGGATGACCCTGACAGGCTGGAAAAATAAGCTAAAACAAATAAAATGAATTTCAATGGGATGGGGATAAATGTAAAGTTCTGCATTTAGGTAGGAAAAATCAAATGCATAATTATAGGATGGAGGAGACTTGTTTTGGCAGTAGTGTGTGCGA